AGGAATCTCTTCACAAGTCCAAGAAGAACAAGGAGGAACAAAGGTTTGAGTAAGACACTCAGTGCTCTATTTGCAATATCATGCGTTTATCAATTCATCAAAAGGTTTCTAATAGCTTAGAGGCGGTGGGGGATACTTATACTAGGAACAACCCTCCTAGGTAGGTGTGAAACGAAATGGAGTTTACGAAGATAGGCTATGTGAAAAGTTCACCGAGATGGATTCGAAGTGGTCTTATGCGTGACTATTGGCCTCTGAGCAGTCTCTACTAATCTTACCATAACTCTTTATTGGGAAGTCGAAATGACGAGCCGCTTGTTGGGTGTGAAAGTAAATTCGATAAGCTTTCCAGCCATGTGTAGCATTTGCATCATGAAACGCTGTAGAATGGTACAAAAGCGGGAAGTTGTACCAACATTCTGTTCTGGGAAGACTGTTTACCTTCTGAGCAGTCTTCACTAATCTGTTCATATCTCAAAATTGGGAATTCCAAAATACTTGGAACTGGTGCCATTGGAAACTAGGCTTGATAAGCTTTCCAAAATGTCCTCATGGACCTCCAAAGCTTTAGGGAATCGAGATTTATGAATATTTCTTTCAGCTGGTCCATCTTCACTGTGCTGGTCTTGAACTGATGGTCCGCTTTTTCACTGTGCTGGTCCGTCCGTAGAGCAACATCCTCCTCTTTATTTGTATACCTAAGTACAACCAAAGTAGAACACTTAGGTAGTATAGTATTCTCATGTATATTGTAGTTAATTTCAGCTAGGAGTGAGTTCACCTCTTTTTTGAGTACTTTTGCATGGCTACGCGTAATTGGCCCTTCATACACTTGCTTATGTGTAACTTGAGTAACCGGTGGCATGTCCTTCATCATCCTCCTCTTGAAAAGGAGTCGTCCTCGACTCTTCCAATCCAAAAAATTGTGCTAGGCACGCGTCGACTTGTAGGTTTGTGATAACATCACAATTTTCTCCTTCCATCACATCAAGGTGTTTGAATCTATAATCATATAAACCAAGTAGCAGCCTTGGAGGTGGAAACCAAAAGGATTTGGAATAAAGTTTAGCTTTTCACCTTGAATCGATGATTACAACTAATGGTGAATGTTGATTGCCTTGCACGGTCTCATCATACGCTCTCCGATGGCCATGTGCACGGTCTCATCATCACGCTCTCCGATGATTACAACTAATGTGATGCGCCATTGGTGATGCTCACGGTGAGATCCGGGCATGGCTCTAACTCAAGGCTGAGGCGGTGTGCTGTGGTGGACACCACAAAGGTGGGTGGGCGTGAGTCCACCAAGGCACGCAGCTGCTTGGTGGCGATGGAAACCGTAGGTGCATAGTGTCCGCCGTGACAATGCCCGGTGAAGGCGTGGAGGGAGATTTCGGCGTCGTCGTCCGAACTTGGGTCATCTTCCACCGCACCGCCACGACCGCGAGCCTCGCCATCCAACTCCCTTCATCGAAAGCAGGACTTGTGATGGTCCTTGGTGAATTTCTTTGGGTAGTTGAAGCAGGGGATGTCTGCCGGCATTGGGCCAGCTCCTGCGGGGTGAGCCGCTTGAAGCAAGCGTCTGCTTGATGCGCGCCCTTCGTCGGGGCCGGTGGAGTCTGGATCGGTGCCTTGGCGGGCTGGGCTGGTGTACGCCCTGCTGTGGCTTGCCCGCTCGCGCTTGGCGCTGCATCGGCGTGGTAGCCATGGAGGCACATGGGTGGCGCTGAGGTCATCATCGTTGTCCGGTTTTGGCGGCGTTCAAATGCACGATGTGAGGCCTATAGCATCGTCGTGAGACTTGGGATCTTGAGCTCCACATTGGTGAGGAAGTGGGTTGCGGAGGCCAGGAGTGAAGATGTCGATCTGCTGCTGCTCCGTGACATTCTTGCAGCTTGCCAACATGGGAAGGAACTGCCCTGGTGAGCGCAACTTCATATGGGCGCCGAGGGAGTTGCTGCAAGACCGGGGGCCAAAACGGTGTTACACCGGTCAGTGGACTCCGGCCAGGTGGGGGCCGTGATTCTGTTGCTGGCATAGTACCAGTCCTAGGCAGCACCCTCCACGTAGAAGGTGAGCTATGGGTGTGGAAAAATTGTTCTGCCTTGTGGACCCAGACCACCGGATCGGTGGCGCCATCGTAGTGTGGAAAACACAGCAGTGGGTGGGTTGGAGGTGGGGCGGAGGTTCGGTGCTAATCTTCACCTTGTTCGTGCACTGCCGCCAGAGCCTCTCAATTCAATCTTTTCTGTCTGCAGCTGATTGGTTGCCACTGTCAAGTGGCTCTGGTCGCCTTCATTGTCGCCATTTCGTCCCTTGATGAAGGAGAAATCAGCGAAGAACTTGTCCATCGTGGACTTGAAGTCCACGGCGGTGATGGAGTCGGCCATGAACAGGTCACAGAAAAGTGTCTTTGCAAAAGGTGATTTGGCTGGATTGTTGGCTTTATTGAAACAATGGCAAGGAAATGAGCCTGATCAACCTCCCTAGGAGGCTCTGGTCATAATAACTCACTTCTTGCTTAACCCCTAGTCACATTCGGTTTACAGATAAATAGGCTTAGAGGCTAACCACTCTCCTAGAATTTCTGTCTTCTTTCCTATTATTCCTCCTAGCCTTCCAACCAAGCGCCATGCATAACTAAGGAAAGACTCAACAAACTCGCCAACTAATTAGGTGTGGCTGTTATCCACTTGGTGTTATGGACGCCTTCCGGCTTGCTCTTCTTGCTCACAAGTGTCCACAACAGGCTGTTCGTGACTGCTGGTGTGTTTAACTCTACTATGAAAATATCTATGTGCAGTATGAAGAAGCTAAGCTATTTGGTTCAGAACTGAACCTGTATTCAGTCTTAGCAACTCCACTCATCACCCTCCTCTAGTTGCGATCCAATAGAGAATGTCTGATATGTATTTCATATGCACTTTGCACAAGCAGATTAAATTATGTCCAAGTTGTGTATTGTAATGGTCTTAGGTGCTGTTTGGTTTGCGGTTCTTGGCCCGTAACCAGTTCACGCCTCAATCTAATTGCGCTTCTTCGCGTTTGGTTTTGCGTGGTCCATAATGGATAACAGCGGCAACCGTTCCGGGCCCATAGAACGCAGATCCCACTCAGCATGGAGCGGTAACGGATCCAGTTCCATGCTCCCTTATGCGCACTCATCAAACAAACAAATCAACGGTATCAATTCGCCGGAACTATTTGGCGCCCGTGGCGTGGTCCCATTTGCGTTACCATTTACAACTTTGAAACAAACAGCACCTTAATGTAAGTTTGTTTTGTAATATAGCCATTAGGAATTGTTCGTTGTGGTATTGTCAATTTCTTCTCCTGTATTTTGTTTGTTTATCTTTTTATTCCATGTTGTGGTGTTTCCATCTTGTTTCCTTGAAAAGATTGTACTGTTCTCTTGTAATGCTTCTTTCAGGAGATTCCTATTGCTGATGTTTGTGAGACATTTAAGGTCGCCAGAGGTATGATTCAGGCACTGCAGGAAAATGCTGGCAGGTTTGCTTCAATGGTTTCTGCATTTTGTCAAAGACTTGGTTGGAATGATTTAGAAGGCCTTGTTTTGAAATTCCAAAATCGTGTCTCTTTGGAGTTAGGGCAGAGATTGCAGAACTGACATCAATTCCATTTGTCAAGGTGTGCTTCAATTACCATGCATGTTTGAATTATCTAAGTGTCGCTGCATCTTATTTCAGTATGGTAATGTAAAATATGAAATAGGGCTCACGTGCAAGGGCTTTGTACAAGTCTGGTCTCATGTACTCCTGTTGCCATTGCTGAAGCATCTATTCCTGAAATTGCAAAAGCTCTTTTTGAATCTTCTGGTTGGTCTGGGCAAGGTACTCTTTCAAGCATTCATGGTTTGATCTTTTTCCTTGCTACCCTTCTTCGTGTACTTGTTTTCTAAGGATCTAATTGTTGACATTAGCAGTGGTGGTAGCAATAAGTGTAGCAATAGTAGTAGTAGTAGTGTTACAGATGCACAAATTAGTTTCTCAGTTGCTTCTGGATATGTTCAGTAATAAGCTTGCAGATACTTTGTTGTTTGTTTTAAGCCTACTCTAATGTCAATCTGTTGAATTGACTAGACTCTGGTTTCTGATTTAATGCAATTTGGTATAGCCAAGAAAATAAAAAATGGAGCTTCATAAAATTGTCCTGGAGGAGGCAGAAGCTGCCAGAGTAGCAGCATTCTCAGCTTTCAAGTCACTTGGTGTGGAAGTTCCTCAGTTCACTGCACCTCCACTCGCAGCTATTGAGGACTATCCAACTCGAGATACCATAGACCAAGCTAAGTCCAACAAGCTAGCTTTTGGTACCCATGCTAGAGATGATAAAAATAAGAATAACTGCTCTGATTATGCTACCCCAAGGGCTTCTACATACAGTCTAAGAAAGGACGCAAACCCTGCTCCTTCCATTCAAATGAAAGAGAATGCAGAACTATCTAAAAATGTGAAAATCACTAGACAGGGAGCAGCAGCATCTTTGTCAACAGAAATTGCTGATGGATTGAGTAGTAGAGATGTGGCTGACAAAGGCCCTGTCCATGCATATAACTTTCCAGGGGGTTTTGACTGTTTTCTTGATCAATGGTCTGCTGCTAGCAAATTTTTCTTCGATGTCCATTTTATCAAGAGATCGCTGAAACCATCTTGAACCTTTTGAAAGTTTTTGGGTTGGCTGTCTGTTGGGAAAATTCCCCATATACTACTGCAACTTCCCCAAAGATCTAGTCACTACTGGTAACAATGACTTCAGGGAAATGTGGGGTTATTTTCAGAGAAGATGGGAAAAAATAACGGACATTATGCAACAAAAGAGTGTCCAGAAAATGACATGGAATTTAAAGATCCAGATTCAGGCACTTAAATCACCTTATATCTCTTGCCAACGGCTTGAAAGGTTTCATCTTGACCATAAAATGCTGGACAAAGTTGAAGTGCTTGACAACTCATATATGTTGTTATCACCAATCTCTGTCTACAATGGATTGGATATATGTCTGCTGGGCGTGGGTTCTATGGCCTGATGAGGAAAGCAGAACGGTACCAAATCTTGAGAAGGTATATCATATATGTCATGTTCTGCAATACCTTTAGCTTTTCATTGCTGATGCACTGTCCCTTCATGCTCATTTTTTATGTCTGATTTCTTCTGAACTTTGCAATAGCAATACACATCTGTTAATTTTGATGCTGAGCTATTTCTGATAATGTAGTACTTTTTTATTTTCATCCTTTGTGATAAACAGTTTGTCAAGAGACGACTTCATAGTGAAGCTGCTGCTGCTGCAAATCGCGATGGAAGATGGAGAAATCAGATGCACAAAGCAGCACACAATGGATGCTGTAGACGTGCTGCACAGACACGAGCTTTGTATACTGTTCTGAAGAAATTACTTACTCAAAATCTTTCTGATTTGGTTGAAACAATTGAGGCCCGTTGGTACAATTCCTATTCTTACGTAATACTCTCTCCAATTATAACAAAAGTGTCATTTTGGGTTGTATGCTTGGTTAACTTGTTTAAACTTTGATGCTTTGGATTGAATATCTGAAAATGGCGCAACTAGATTCCTTTTGGAAAGTAGTTCAAAACATTACAACTTTGCTATAGTTTCATACACTTCATAGTAGTATAGCAGTCAAATCATCCTATTAGTACCCGTGTTGATATCCAAAATGACACTCTCTTGTGATCGGAATACAATATTGCTGCTTGTATTATGCTTGAATATCTCTTATGCATTTATTTTGACAGGTTAATGTTCTTGCTGATATGGAACTTTGGGGAATTGGCGCTGACATGGATGCTTGTCTCCGTGCGAGGCATATTATAACAAAAAAGCTGAAGGAACTAGAGAAAGAAGCTTACAGATTAGCAGGCAAGAATTTCTCTCTAAATGCTACTGCTGATATCGCAGACATTCTATATACACACCTAAAATTGCCAGTTCCAAAAGGCTGTGAGAAAGGAAGCTGCATCCTAGCACTGACAAGCAGTCTTTGGACCATCTAAGGTATTTTTCTTTTTTCCCTCCTGTTAATTCTGAACATCAAAATGTCATTTCTGGTTCTTTGGTGCTGTGACCTTTGAGCCTTGGCGTCGACTATGGAAGACTTGGGCCCTGCCAAATGCAAAATGTTTTTGTGGTTGGCAATCGAAATAGATGTTGGACGACAGATAGGCTTGCTAAGAGGCCCTCTCATCCGGATAAATGCCGCTATGTGATCAAGAAGATGAGACAATACAACATCTTTTAACAACATGCATGGTGGCAAGACAAGTTTGGTTCAGATTATTCACTCCACTGAACCTAGCAGATTCAGTCCCCCGACAAAATGAACTGAGCTTTGCTGACTGGTGGCGCACGACGATGAGCAGAGTTAGCAAGGAGCACGGAAAGGAGTGAACACTTTAATTATTTTAGGGGCCTGGATTATTTGGAAGCATAGGAATGCATGTGTTTTTGAGGGGGCTTCTCCTTCGCTTAACATGATTTGGAGTGAGCTGAAAAATGAGCACATGGCTGGGGCGAGAAAATTACAGGGGTTAGGTCTCGCGCTTGCAGACTAGGTCTTTTTGTGTTAAGGTCGAGTCATATTGTCCACTATGTGTTTAAACCTTAAGGCTATGTAATTGCCTCACTCATATTTGGTCCCCGTATGAGTGAGGATCCTGTTAGGACCCCCCCCCCCCACCCCTTTCATCTCTATAATACAATGAAAGCGCAGCTCTCCTGCGTTCAAAAAAAAAAAAAAATCGGGTTCTTTGGAAGTACTTGTGTGCCATTTATATCCGGACATTATGTATGGAAAATTTTAAATGTGTCGAGTATATCCGCCATTTTGAAGGGCAGGCCTGGTGCAGTGGTGAGGCTGTCTCCTTTGAGTCACCAGTCGCGGGTTCAAGCAGCCTCTCCGCATATTTTTATGGGGAAGGCTTGCCTCGGTTTTTCCTTCCCTGACCTCACTCATGTGGGAGCCTCCGACCTTTGGGTCTGCCTTTTTTAGTATATCTGGTGTCTAGTCGGTGATGGTCGGTGGTAGTTCTGTGTGAGTAAAGGTAAATTATTATGTTGTCTTTATGAGAGCTAGAAAAGTGCTGGTGGGGCCACATTTTATTATCATTTGATCATCTTCTGGACATGCTTTAGAATATCATTGTGCTAATATGCACTCTTTTTCTGTTTTTTGGAGTCAATTAACGGGATTAACTCATTTTTCATCCCTAACTAAATACGTGCATTTTCATTGCATGTTCAAATAATTTCTTTTATTTGGAAAAGCTTATGCCAAAGGGAAGCACATGTATCACTGTCACCCCTTTGTTTACCTTATTTTCAGTTTATGGGCTGCTGCTGATGTCCCTATTATATGCACTCGGAAGATCTGTAGCAAGGCAAGACTACTGCCTTGCCAAGCAGGCCTTCCTTTTGATTGAAATCTATGGCACTCTTTTCGATTTCACTTGGCCCCAAATTTTCCTCGACATAGAATTGCCGTGGCTTTATAGTTTACTATAAAATCCTTATCAACTGGACATAATGCTCTCTTTAGGGTTCTATCAATTATCCCAATAATGTAGAACTTTAATTGTCCATTTGCTAAATATTTTTGAATTTTCTGTTTCCTCAGGGATCAACACCCAATTATCCCAGTAATTAGGAACACAGAACATTAGCAAAACTGTTAAATGGCACATTGTGGTCCATTTGCTCACGTGCTCAATTGTGCACTCAATCACAAAGGTACATCATACATGGTAATTGGCTTCAGACATCTACTGCCACTGGCCGTTTGTCCATGGAGGAGCCAAATCTGCAGGTTCTTTAGTCATAGTAAATGTTTTGTGTGTTTTGTTTGGATTTCTGTTATTGAGGAATAACCTACTGATTTACCCTGTTACTATGTAGTGTGTTGAGCACTTGGTGGAATTCGATACAGGGAAAAGCGATAAAAAGATTACTCAAGCGTGTCAGTGGATTATCATCATAAAATCAATGCCCGTGATTTTTTCATACCGACCAAGGTTTTCCTCATTTCACTTTTATGTATTTATTAAGTTTTCCCTTTAATTAGGATAGCTGACGATATTTTTCCTGTAACAATGCTTTAGATAATGTCATGATCTACTTATTTTGTAGGAGAACTGGTTATTCAGAAACTGCTGATTACTCACAGATTGAGTTGGGCGTTTAATGGCTCACTTTTCTAAAGATCCCACGTTGGTTGAACTTCTAAGTAAACCTGATGGTGATGTTTTTTACCATGATTGCTTCAAGATGGGCTGATAAAGAAGAGGCCTTGATATCTTCCAAAGAGAGAGAAAACACTAAAAGATTCATATACGGCATCCTTTACGGAATGGGTGCAAACTCCTTGCAGAACAACTTGAGTGCAGCACTGAAGAAGCTACAGAAGATTCAAAGCTTTAGGAGATTTTTTCCTGGTGTTTCCTCATGGTTACATGAAGTTGTGTTATCTTGTCGCCAAAAAGGGTTAGTCTACTTGGTAGCAATTTCTGTTTAGTCTTTCTTTATATATAATATCGTCCCTTTGATTTTGATGCTAACGTTGAATGAGTTCTATGAAAAATATGTTACTCCAGGCGTAACTTTTGAGATATTTCATATTTGAACTTTTGAGATATTTCGTATTTGAGCATGTATTAACATGTCTTCCAACATTAGTATGTGAGCTGCTTCTCATAACAATTTAAGGTGAATATGTTGCATGATAATTTGGTTGTATTTGGATTTTAAGTTTAGGCCATGTTATTTATATTACAACTGCTTAAGATCAGTGCTCAATCCATTGGGTTGACATATGCACATATTAAGTGTAAGGCCCATCTATCTATAGGCCCATATGGCCCATGAGGTTGTATATATATTGTCATCTCCACTACTAGAGTAGTGGTCTTATGAAATCCCAAGGTTAGTCACATGATAACAAAGCCATGGATTAGGGTTTGGGTTAGGTTCATCTAATCCACTCATGATTCAATTTTTTTACTACATGCTCTGCTTGCCGGTCACGGCCTTCTTCAGTTAGTTGTGGCCTAACGTGTGTGAAACCCTTGCTATCTCACAACTTCCACCCGCTTGTAGTGCGTGGCCCATCGAGGACCGTGTTCACCCGCACATTGGATTGCAAATCATGTCCACTCGTCACTGCCCTTGTCTGTGCAGTAGTCCACGGGAGGACCCGTCGCTGTCGTTGCTCATTTGCCCCATCTCTGCCCGTGCGCCGCTTGTTAGCCCCATATTCCACAGTTACCATTCGGTTTCGCCCCTTGCGGATTGATTTGTTGTTCATCTGCCTGTTCGTGGAAACAGTGCCTTTTAGTGTCTGCCCACTCATCCTTCTTACATGGTTCCCTTTGTCTGCGCCTTCATTTTTCTATGCTGTGGATTGGCAGGTGGTTGTCATCGTCTCCAGCATCAACTTCCTAGAGAAGACAGAGGGGGTGTTCTTGTGATTGGTGATCCGATTCCTCATTATGTACAAGTGGAATTTGATTGCAACATGCCCTGCACTATTTACATATAGTTTTTTCATGGGTATACAAGCTGAATATGATTCCACTCCTACACAATCGCTTCATAATTCATCTACTCTCACTATAAAAAACTCGAACCTTCTCACCCGACCGAGAAAACCCCTCGAACGCCCCCACCCTTACATGGTGGCTTTCGTCGCCAAGTGAGAATTAATGGTACCCCAGGTGCTTTGATTATGGGGACGGACGAGGGATTTTTTAACCTCGACTGAAATTCGCTCCCAGAGTGAGTCAGAACGGAGGACTGAGAAATCTCGGAGTCACCTAAGCATTTGAGCTAGGCACCCTTTGGCATCTACTCTCACTATGGCACTAGCATTGTCTGGATTTACTTGCACAAGAAACACGTTTGAGTCTCTCCATGTGTCTCATAGTGTGTTGGTTTATTTTTCTAGAAAATGCAGGAGAAGCTGCATATCATTATATTATAGAAGAAAAAGAGGGAAATGAATCCCAAGTAGCGTTCAAAAGGTTCTGAGACTTCGCTAGTGCTAAAAAGAAAGCAACCTTAACCACAAACTCTATTGAGACTCAACATCAGCTAGGGTCGGGGGCCGAGCTTAGTTGGGGCCAGAAGGGCCACAGCCACCCCGCCACCACTAATTCTCCATTAAATGAACAGTAATATGGCTACTGTTCATTCATTTTTTAGTCAAAATTAGTGAGGTGGCTCCTCGACTTGAGCTCAAGCTTCCCCCTGGCTGGGGTGTACAAGCAGGACATCCCTCAAGCCCAGCCAACATCCACAAATGAAGCTCTTCAGAGTGAGCACCCAAACCACCCCTAGATTAGGTGCTATGCCATTAAGGACACATTGATTCTGATGCTTCCAAAGACAACATGCTTCGAGGATGACCGAGAGAGTTGTCAAAGGACTAGTGCACTAAAAAGTACTGCCTAGAGCCCACATACCTTTGTGCTATAGGACCATCCATCTTTTAGAAAAGGGAGAATTATCTATTTGGTAATCGAAACAAATCAAGTGTTTTGTATTTGGCACTCGAAAATTTGAACTTTCCTATTTGGCATCAAGTTAAATTTTTCTTTCTTAAATGGTACTTTGTAGTCCATTTTCATTGGTCATCTGTTACTTGATTTGGTTTGGTAGTGTGTTTTTCTCTCTATGTCCAATGTACCCCTTTGTTATGCAGTCCCCTTAATCCAGATCCCGAGACCTTCTTGGATTGAGATTGATTGACTTTGCTTTCAGTAAAGTTACAACGTAATCTTCTCTCCGTCTGAGCCCTCAAATCAGGTCCAAAGGCAATGTATTTTCTCTCGGCTCTTGGGACAATCTGTCATGGATCACTCGTCGCTCTTCCCTTGGCTCTAGTAGTCACGGTGGCGGGCGGAGGAGCAGCCACCACGTAAGGTTGGGGAATGGGAGTCGAGTTCCAATCAACCACGCGGCCCGGCCATGTGCATGTGAAGTTGAAGCTCGACCATCTGGTTGT